GTCTCCAAGGTGCCACAAGGTGAAGGTAGTAACTGACCATGTCAGAGAGTGGTAACTAGTCATGTCAGTGGGGCAATATGTAACTTGTTTGTATTCATGTATAAAGATGGGTTTCAGAGGAAGGTGTCTTTGTCAGGCCAAGGGGGAAATGTAAAATCCCACCATTCACTGAGTCGAGTCCATTCTCATGGGCATCCATGTCTCAGTATTCCCATTAAGTCAGCCGGGTGCTATTACGGGGCTTCGTTGACAGTAAACCCGGTCGGGAGCCTTCGCTATGGAACCGAGTCTGTGGTCTTTTGGGGCCGTTCGATCGAGGTCGGCTGCGCACCCGCGCAGAGGTGGGACAGCACGCACCGAGAACACGCCGTCCGCCAATGACTGACTACGGCAAATGGCAAATAGACGGAACTCAGCCTTCATCCTCCCTTTATATCTCTTGCTTTTTTAAGACAATCCACTGATTTGGAGTTGGCTCAGTTCCAGCCCATCTGTAGGTGCTGAGCACATTGGCGAATCAGGCTAAAAGGGTGATACATTCACAGACAGCATCTGAATCAGTAACGTGAGATCCAGAGCGGTTTTCGTCCTGCTCTCGCTGCCGGTATCAGCCCAGCTGTCTCTAAGGAGTTGTTACTGACGCATCCAAGCCGCAAAGTCTGTTGTTCCCAATCCCTGCTGAGACCTTGGGCGGGTTTGTTGTATTTACTGTGTCTATTTAACTATCACACAGGAGGGGAGCAACCAGTCCAGTTCATATAACTACACACTGTGCATCAGCTGTGGAAGCCGGGATGTGGGGAGAAGGGGGGGGTTAGGAGAGGTTTGTGTTGTGTTGTGTTGGTTGGAGCTGCCTGTTGCCAGCTCAGAGGTGGCACATACAGGGTGACAAACTGCGCCCCAGCACGATTTGCCACTGGCAGCAAATACTGACATCTTGCTATCAGTGTTGCTGGCCTGTCACAGTTTGCTACCCCACATCTTTCTTCGTCTCCTGGTCCAGGGCTAGGAACAGCGCTTAATTTGTGCCAGGGGTGACCCCGGCACCTCTCGACTTGGCAGTTCATCGCCGCGGCACCTCTCGGCTTGGCAGTTCATAGCCCCGGCACCGCTGGGCTTGGCAGTTCATAGCCCCGGCACCTCTCGACTTGGCAGTTCATAGCCCCGGCACCGCTGGGCTTGGCAGTTCATAGCCTCGGCACTGCTGGGCTTGGCAGTTCATAGCCCCGGCACCTCTCGACTTGGCAGTTCATCGCCCCGGCACCGCTGGGCCTGGCAGTTCATAGCCCCGGCACTGCTGGGCTTGGCAGTTCATCGCCCCGGCACCGCTGGGCCTGGCAGTTCATAGCCCCGGCACTGCTGGGCTTGGCAGTTCATAGCCCCGGCACCGCTGGGCCTGGCAGTTCATAGCCCCGGCACCGCTGGGCCTGGCAGTTCATCGCCCCGGCACCGCTGGGCCTGGCAGTTCATCGCCCCGGCACTGCTGGGCTTGGCAGTTCATCGCCCCGGCACCGCTGGGCTTGCTGCATCAGTTATGAAAGTGGGAAAAAAAAGAGTCCTGGCACCTCTTTCACTACAACTTAAGCACTGGCTTGTAAACTGTGCTGCGAAGCAGTTTATACCACAACCCCGGCACCGCTGTGTGGGGTCTCTGGCTGAGTTCAGCGCTGGTTGGCTCTTTACACATTGCAGTCTCTCTGGTGAGAATTCCCCCTGTGGGTTCTATCCTGAGTGTGAGTTCAGCCGTAAACAAGGAGTGTAAGTTCATACGATGTCACAATCACCTAGAATGACAGATTTGTAATGCACGCCTGCTTGGTGTGGCACACTGTCCCACCGTAGCGTCAGCCAACCAATGCACCACTTGTAACGCCGACAGACCCCCCGACGGCGACAGCTAGCGTCAGCCGGCCAATGCACCGCTTGTAACGCCGACAGACCCCCCGACGGCGACAGCTAGCGTCAGCCAGCCAGTGCACCACTTGTAACGCCGACAGACGCCCCGACGGCGGCAGCTAGCGTCAGCCAGCCAATGCACCGCTTGTAACACCGACAGACCCCCCCGACGGCGGCAGCTAGCATCAGCCAGCCAGTGCACCACTTGTAACGCCGACAGACCCCCCCGTCGGCGGCAGCTGGGAACAAACCTGGGACTTGTGGAGCTTAACGCACGAGCCTCTACTGCATGAGCTAAAAGACGCATCTCTCTTGGCTAACACTGTAGCAGGCTCATCCATCGCTAGGGGGTCTAGCTGCCACTAGAGGGGGACAGAGCGCCACACCAAGCTGGCCTGGGTTACATATGGACGGGGAAAGGTACAAGGGAGACAGACTGAATTAGTCCAAAGAAAAAGATCTGCTGATACAGTTCAAGGACTGGGTTTAAATCATGCCTGGTCCACCCAAAGTGTGACACAACGTTGGTGTGTTGGAAACTAGGCCTAATTGGTGACCAAAATAACCCATTCTGCCCACCATGCCCCTGTGAGGGCCTTAATGAAAGAGACTTTGAGGAGAAAAATTGGCTACTGGAGTGACCGTCACAGTGGCAACTGCCCTGACTGCCCCATTGTCTCCTGGGACCCCCGACTTTCTGTGTCCTGCTTCGGAGAGACGTCCTGCCCTGACCAGACCGGGCCAGAGAGAGGGACCCGGATAACAACGGCACTTTCAGCTGAATCCCAAACACCACCCTGGGATGAAACGGGATCGGACTTTAACAGTAACAACAGCAGCTCCAGCCCATCTCAACTAACTTCTCTCTTCCCCAAAAGGACATTTATCGCCGTCTGTGATACCATCTAAGGGGCTGGCAGACCAGGGGAGGGGCTCCCTTCTGAAAACTCTCTCCAGTGGAAGGGAACAAGCGGAGTTGTTACCATAGAGACTTACTAGAGTTGATACTTTACATTCCAAAGGCTTGGACAGTTTTTCCTTCTTTGTCTTTATCTTTAATGAAAGGTTAGGAGGAGGATTTGTAGTGGGGGTTGCCATGGGGCTGAGCAAGCTGAAGTCTCCATATACCAAACCCCAGAGCTTGTTTGAAACTATTCAGAGCTGGGCAGTGACTGGGGTATATGTTCCTTCTAAATCATACAGCCTCTCACACCTCCTCCCCCTGGTGTGCCAGTACCAGGCTCGTCACAAGACAGGGTGGGTGTGGGGGTGAAATCCAGCTTCACTGAAGTCACTCTTACGGATGTCCATGGATTTCACTCAGGGAGTCACTTTAACTGCCCTTCCCCTCCCTGCCCCCTGCCTCCCGCACAGGGAGGGAGTCGCTGTGTATGAAGAGTTGCTCTGCGCTAGAAGAGTTATCCCGCTCTAATTACCTTGGCTGGGGCTGTGAAATATTTTTTAGCACAATAATTACTGGTGCAGCCCTTGGTGTGGACAGTGGGTTAAACTGGTAATGGTGGATTAGCCACTGGGCCAATGGGGCCCTGGCCAATTGGGACCCCTCCAGAAATATGGGTGCCCTGACCCGCTCTGCCCAACACTCCTGCCAGGGAGCAGGGTTGGGGTGCAGCGGCCCCCACTCCCTGGCAGGAGCACCAGACGGGCAGAGCAGGGCAAGCCCCCGTGCCCTGACCCTGCTCCCGGGCAGGGGTACCAGAGGGGGGTCAGAGGGGCCTCCATCTTCTCTGGCCGAGGGCCCCACAAAACAGTGATCTGCCTCTGTATAAAGGTGCCCTGCACCTCTACAGCGTGTTCCCTCCCAGCCTGGGGATCTCGGTACCAGTCTGAGCCCCTTTATCCCAGTACAGCCCCTTGCACACCGGGGAGCTGACCAGGACGGTTAGGGCTGCAGGCCCCTGTAGTGCAGACAGGCTCCAAGTCCAGGGTGGCTGCAGGTTTCAGCGCCAGGGGAAATTTGCCCCCAAGCTGTGTTACACAGGGGAGACTAGATTCAGTCACTAGCACGGCCTGACCTGCCTGCCTCAGTGACCCTGCAGTGCTCACTGGGCCACAGAGTCTTTGGCTCGGATCCCTG